CAATTATGCAAACAGCACTAAATTTCAAATGAGTATTCGAAAGCGCAACAAAAAGCACTCACTTTTTCATGATCGATTTCAAACTGAATACTTTTTTTAAACCCCATCGCAAACAACTGCTGCTGTCATGAAAAGAACTATTTTTGCAAGCGATATGAGCTGGAAAGGAACTGAGCCTCTAACTTTCACTGTCCTGAATCCTTCGAATCATGACTTGTTATCCATTACATTATCGGCCCTCATGCTTCACAAATAGCAATTGGGGCTTCGCGTGTCACCCAAATACGTACTCTACATTGTCTGGGATAGCTGCCGTTAATAGCAAGCTCTACCAATTTTTGCATTTTCTTGGGAATCTGCGGTAAAATCTGGCGCCATCCCGTTTACTTTCGAGTGTCTTTGTCTCTTGAACACGGTTAAAAATCCTGGCTTCTATCCGTCTTTATTTTTAAATATACATAGAGGAGAGGCGAGCAGACGGGCGAGAGAGAGGAAAATTTGAAAAAAGCCAAAGGTCTTTCAGATTCCATAACCTGTAGTAGCTTTTCAGTTTGTGAAGCAGTAACATCAAAAAGGCATTAGTTGTATTAGCAGAAGTACCAGCAATTTTCCATACACTTTATTGAAATTTATTTAAAAGTGGTGTGGGTGAATTTGCTTGTTCGACCTTCCAGCCTATACAACATTTTTCTGCCAGAACGACTTGTCCAATGTTTTGGAAAAATTGCTGCAAAACATGCAATATTCCAAAAACAAAAAAGCGAGAAAAAGAAATAATAATAAATACATCGTGCTGCTGATGGCGATAAGAAAACATCTGTATTTTTACCTCTGCTTGACAAAAATGCAAATAATTATAAAATAATTTAATAAACTATAAAAAAATGAAAAAAAATTTTTTTTGGAACCGACAAGAGGAAAATAAAATTGCCAAGACACCCAAACTTAGTGGATATCCTACATTAGAGATGTTAATGAGATGCTCCCACAGGTCAAATGCCTCAATATTGGACTGCGTATCTCCAGTTAATATTCAACAAATTAGCAGTGCGAGCAACATGTCCTGTCCGTTGGATTTTACTTTCTCACATTTTAAATATAAGTAAATAAAAGCAAAGTAAAAGAAATATGCGTATGAAAATAAGATTTTTTTAGTTTGTCCAAAAATTCCCCAGTCAGATTTTTTAGTTTTTTGCCAGAATTTTTTCAGGTTTTTGGTAGATTTTCCTCCAATTTTTCAGTTTTTTTGGTCAATAACGATGGAAAAAAGAAAAAAAAAAACAGTGAAAAAAGAACGAAGCAAAAGACGAGAAAGAAAAGCTCATAGAAGTAATACGCGTAAAGAAGCCTACAACGAAATGTACCATCACATCCGCGCCAATGTGAGTGTGTAAAGACTGTCGAAACCAGCATTTGTGAAGAAGCCGGCAATGCTAATGTACCAATCACACGTCGGTGGATGTGAATGTTTAATAAATACTACCGCTATCGCAAAACTTGAAATAGAATCTTATAACGCGAACGCACCAGTATGAACAGATAGTCATGAATCAAATATGAATGGATAAAGATTACAGGTTTTTCTTCCGAAGTCAACGTGCGTAAACGCAGAACCGCGGCGCCAATAATCCCCATGCACGTCTGGACCCCAAGTAAGAGCGCATGAAAGCTTTGACAGGAAAATTGCTAATTCGGGAACCAGGACAGCTAAGAGACTAAAATTTTAAGAGGATG